GAGAGAGAGAGAGAGAGAGAGAGAGAGAGAGAGAGAGAGAGAACTTATTCATTGCAGTTTATATAATGTACATCTCAATATTCAACATATAATGCACACATTCATTCTTACTTTTATGTACAAATTATAGTAGATTTTAAAATTTGTCATGAAAATGGAACCATCCAGCACAGCCAACCCAGTGATAACCTGGTACTATTCCATACTTTCAGCTATTCAACAGTTCGTCACGTCCCGTGCTTTGTGGCTTTCTCCTTTTCAATCCATCCTTTCTCGAAAATTCGTTTCCACCGCACTGACTGTAACTGTATGGCCCATCACATGCCTATATTACATACATTCAAGCACACGCACACTTCTTGCATTCACGCTCTCGTGCACTTAAAAGAAAATCAAACATTACAAAGAATTAATAAAATAATAAGGAACACACAAGATCACGTTTTGCCATGTAATACAGACACAAGCTAAGAAATGAATATGAAAGATAATGAGGATTGTTGGAGAGGAGACAGAAGAACGTAACCATATTAAACCCTGCGAGTACTCGATACATACTGTTGGACATATATAAATATTTTTTTATTTTCGTCACTCGAATAATCATCATGGCCATACAATGATTTCTCTTAGCTTAAAGGTAAGTATTCATGAAGATTTCTAAATATTTGAAATCTTTGATCAGTATATATACTGCATGTAAAAAAGAAATGATGAGTATTTTCATTAGGATATCCACATGCACAAATAGGAGAGTTGATTAGGTTAACATTAAAGAGATCATCATTTAAAGGGCTGCATTTATGACGGAGTTTGGTTAGTAAAATATTTAACTTACGGTCACCGGCTAAATAAAAAACAGGCACTTTAAATGTTTCATTTTGTTTTTTGAGGCAGTTTGTGAAGCTCTTAAAAGAATGTGCAGTTTTAATATTAGTGTCAAGCTCATTCCATAGTCTTAAAGTAGAAGGTATGAACGAGTTAAGTGAAGATTGTAAGCGGAAATTAGGAATGGAATAGTTCTCAGAGTTTCTCAAATTATAAGGAGTTAAAGTAGCTACTAGT